TTGCCATGTTCAGGCCTGTAAACCAATGAGATGCATGCACAGCTTGAGTGAATATGATGTTTTTTGTAATCACATATTGAAAGACTTTTTCTAAGTGCACAAGAAGGCTGCAGTTGGATTGTAGTGCTCACCCAGAAACTTTGCCAGCTGGCCGGAAGACATTAAGAGATCCACACTTACATATGTTTCTTCACTGAAACGTACTTCCTTCCAGCACTCAGTTCTGTGGGGTGCTGGAAAACAAAAGGTTTGGGGATCTTATTTCTGACATGTCAGTGCCCATGAAGGCTCTTCCCATGTATTAGTGCTGGTGCCTTAGCCCTAAAAATGAACAAAAATGTTTTCATGTGGTTTTGGATGCAGCAAGTTTTTTCTCAAGAAGTGAATTTCAGAGAGATAAAAAGAAAATATTTCATGGTGCAGATTACTCAGGACAGTTTTACATATAGCATCCTTCATATAGATATGGTTGTTTTGTAATACTGTCTCTGTCTTTACAATATGACCTTGCTACAGATTTAAGATTGAATATAGTAAGACAGGCCAAATTTATACTATGCCATAGTCTTTAAAAATTATAGTGAAATGAAAACACACAATTATATTCTACAATTAAGACAAATACTTACTCAGGAGTCAAAGCGTCGCTTCAGAGTCTGTGCGAAGGAGTTGCAAATAAAATGTAGAAGTTTGAATTCTAGCAACTCTTGCCCCGATTCTCCTTGTGGTGACAAAACTTAATATATAGCAGAAAGCTGTGATGGCAGCATCTGTTCCTTTCCACTTGCATGCTTTAAGTTACTATAAAAAATTCTAGGGCAACTACTAAGAACATTTGTGCCTCATTTTGATAAAGCCCAGCCGGAGCCTTCCTGATGGCCTGCTGAGCAGATAACCTCAGACTTTTTCCATGAGATGCAGTAAAATATAATTGTCCTCAAATGTGTTCCCACTGAGTTAGGAAATGCCAAACCATAATTGCATCCAACTCAGAGCATTTGATGTATAAAATAATAAGATTGTTTTACAAGTGGCTCTTGCCATGCTAAATTTCACATTGAATTTTAGTGGTCAGTGTAAGAACTGAGTTCAAAGACAGACTTCTCAAATGTTCCATATTTTAGTTGTCTTTTGGGAATAATTATATCACAGTTTTGGAGCCAAAGTTCTTTAGCCATAACTAACACAGTACCTTTCTCTGACTGCCTTTCTGCTTTTTTTTCTATATGTGTGGCATTTGTATGTAGCAGATGCCTTCTAAACGATCTCTAATTTAAAACTCTGTTGTAAATACTAGGGATAACTTTGCATATATATTTTATTTTGGTAAGTGTTTTGTAACATTATACCTTCCATACCGTGCTTTGTGCATCTCACCCCGTGTGTGCTGTTACACATGTTGTAAATGAAGTGTCCTGGCGGCGGAGCAGAGGAATTGGCTGTTGACGGCTGAAGTACAATGTATAGGACAGCAGTAGCTTGATGTTCATTTATTCTGGAGTAATTGCATTGCAAGGTTTATTTACTCTTTGAATGCTGTTTGTCAAATGAGTCTATTTTCTGGAAATGAGTACAGACATACATTCCTATTATTTTTCTCTTATTGTACATGGTTGAATTAAATAATATACAAAGCTGAAGTTCTTGATCTATGTCTTATAAAACTTTATGTGCAGTTTTAAAATTGTTGTGCTTTTTTTTTATTGTCTACAAAATTTCCTTTGTGATGCAAAAATGTATCAACTGTCATATTTCTTCTAGTATTTTAAAGAAAAAAGTCGCACCGTCCTCTCTTGTTTTCCTAGTAACAGCTTCAGTACTTCCCAGCACAAGTTCATTTTAACAACTCCTAAGCCTGGTTTTGGTATTGAAGTCTTCAGTGTTCAGGCAAAGCTCGTACTTGCTGCTGCCTCAGCCTGTGATTACTGTGCTTTACCTTGTCCTGGCAGGGTGTTCACACACTACCCCTTGCAGTACATGCAGGTACAGCTTCTGTGCTAATAAAGCTCCTGCTAACAGGGGATGGTGACTTAAATACTGCAGTGCAGGTAAGGAGGATTTAATTTTATTTTCTTTGGAATGAAAGCAAAACCATTTAAATGGGTTCACCCAAAAGGCATGTTCTGCATGTGAGTGTGAACAGGCTTACCTGCCTGCTTGATAGAGCAACACAGCTGGGATTCGACTTCTCTGTTTCAGGGAAGATTTTTGTATCTCATTATTCTGACAGGGCGGAGGGCCACATCTGGAAGATGTGCTGTGTCCTTCCTGTCCAGGCTGTGTCAAAAATTGTGTTTTGCTGAGACACACCAGCTTTAGCAAAATAACATATTTTGCTGAAATCTTTTCATCAGAAATGTTTTGATCAGTTCAAATGCTGGCACAATAGTTGGTTTGCTAATTCTTTACTCCTCTTTCCAACATCCAGGCTCTTATATTTCTTGGTTCATCTCACAGCTGAGAGTTTCTGCCTCCCAAGGCAGCTGCTGCTGTGGTGGGATGTGTGCTGAGTGCTCCAACATTAAAGTGAAAGGCACAGTTTGAGCACTTAGTGAGATAGATTGGATGACATAAAACATACCCTAAGCAAACACTGCAGGAGGATGTAGCAATCAGTAGGCTTTCTAAGGACCCTGTGGTTCATCTGGCCAGGGTGAGCTCATTTGTGCTTTTTATTTCATGCTTGGGCAGTCAGGCTAAATCCTGTAAATAATTCTGTACTTTCAGCTTTTAAGTTGAGAGCTGATATATCAGATGGAGCTTTTAGTTTGCACAGAAATAGCACTGCTTATCTTAGATTTTTTTTTTTTTTTTTTTTTTTTTAGTTTTTTTTTTTTTTTTTTTTTTTTTTTTGGTTGTTGTTTAGTTTTTTCCCAAAGGCTGCATAATGATCTGTGCTTAGTAACATAGACAAGGACTTCGGCCTTTTAATGTTCCAGAATCAAAGGAGAAATGAAAAATTCAGCAGTGAAAAACAGCATGCCATGTAGCTTGTAAGGAAAGCACACAAATACTCCTTACACAAATAAATATGTTTCTAAAAGTTTTAAAAAATCTAGTTACTCTATCTAGAGGATATGTAATTGTAAGAATATGACTAAACTGTATAAACTGTCAGGACAACACTTTTCTTGTTAATCCTAAATCTCTGTTTATGTTAAATCACTGCAATCAGAACTTGTCCAGTGCTTGGGGCTGAGAACTCACCTATTGCCACTATTAGATATTTAGGCTCTGTTTTTAAAAAACGGGGGTGGGTGTGTGGGGGGATGTGTGTGTGTACCTGTGTTTACACCTACACCTCCTTTGTAGACTCCATGTGACATCCCCACATGTCTCTGCTGGCATCTACAGCAGGTTGCATCAGACAAGTGACCCACATCCATCACACCTTCCCTCTGTTTACATTACATCGTTACACCAGTATATTTCTGTTCAGCATCTTGGGGACTGTGTATATGTGATTGACACCTGGACAACATTTATTTGACTCATTTTAATGTTCTAAGCATTCCGAGTGAGACACCTGCAATGGAAGCCAAACCACTCTGCAGACAAGCAGAGGTTGGAAGGTGTCCATCAGCATCACTGGAGTCACGTCAGTGAAGTTCAGAAGCGTAGATCTGAGAGGAAGGAGTACCACTGCTCTTCAAGGGCTGAGTTTCTCTCCAAACACAAGGTGATGTAGGATTTATCAACTGTTTCTCCCAGGGATTTTTTTTCAGGAAAGCTGAAACTGCTTAAGAGGAAAGAATGAGCCCCAGGTACAACATTTCCTCTTCCTATAAGCACACCCCAGACTTTAGAGATACTGACATACTGAAAAAGTGTCTAGAAACTGCTCTGCTAATAAGGTCAGGTATATCTAATTAACCATCATGGTTGTTGCTGTTGTATTAATCTCCTAACAAAGGTAATTAGCACAGCAGTCAATCTAAAAACCTTTGCATCTCCTGCCTTTCAGATGCAATGTTTTTTAAGAGCAAATTATGAACTCCTGTTCCCATGTAATTATTTTCAAATCATTATTCTGTGATAAGACAAGGCACCAAAAAGCAGCTGAGGGAAACATTTATCTTTAAGACTATTTCTAGAGCAGTTTTATTGGTTGTCTGTTAAAAATGCATCAAACCCGACTAACTGCAGAGTCCATCAAGGTATAAGTAACTAATGAATGACGTCCCTGTTTTTCCCCAGAGGGCGGCGGACACGATGTCCCAGGCTCAAGGCGGGGCAATTCAACTCTTGCAATATTTTGGTGTCGCCACAGGGTGGTGGTGCAGATCGTACAGAAAACTTCGTTTCTCTGCTGTGCTGAGGGAAAAGTTCTTTGATGTGTGCAGAGCACACGTGGCACATCTTTGCAGTGTGGTGACACCCTCAGACACTTTTTGCAGTCACTTGAAACAACAAGGGTGAATTAAGGCCACTTCCTCTAACACATTAACTCTCGTTACTTTTGGTTTTATCCTTCACTGTTGATGATCAGCGTTTAGGGAGTTGATGATAAGCTCAGTTGACTTCCACTAGTCCTTAGACAACAGCAGTTCCAGTAGTTTCAAGAAGACACAGTTAAAAATTGAGTTATGGCTTTTTTCAAATTAGTTACCACTCATACATAATTTAGTAGCCCAATAGCTTTTACTGTTGCTTGAATAGCTAGATACGGAGCCTGCTAATTACACATTAAACATTTTGTAATTCTATTTATTTATTCTATTTTTAATTTAACCTTGTTCCTTATTTTCCATAATCACCTAATAATTGTAATGCCGCATTCTCAGCATTTTTTTTTTAATTTCTTTAGTCTTTGTCTCTAAATCCATTGTAAATTATCTGATTCAGAAATTACCTTAATTACATATTTTAGCAGCACAATAGTGGTGTGAGACATGCCTTCTATCCTACAAATCATCCAAGCTGTCAGAGGCTAACATTTGTGTGATGTATTTGTACAAAGAAATAGGGAAATCCAAGCCTTATTAATTGATTTTAACAATTTTCTTTTATGTAACAGTAGTAAAAGCCAAAGTACAGAGCACTTCAGCTTAATATTGGAATAAATAGAAAGATTCCACTTTAAACCTCTGTTTTAATTATTGAACAGCTCTCAAAATTAAATCACTGACCTTTGAGAATTTAGTGACTTCAATGACCTTTGAGAGTTTAGTGACCAAACAAGTGCTTGTCCTCAAGGCACATATCGGAGTGTACATTCCTTTACCGAAGTTTCTACACTCAGTTTTAAAGATGCCCAAGAAGACTGCAATTACCAGGTGAACAAGGTAAGTACAAATGTCCTGTATACATGATGATGATGTTGATGTCAGATTGTGGAGAGGAGTGCATGTATGGAAGCCAACCACACTGTCTATTCTTTAGGCAGGAAATGCTTCCCTAGACACCTGGGAATGGGGTTTTCTGTAAGTGGACATGGACTGTCAGACTTCTCCATGGGATGCATCATTACCTAGCAGTGTCATACAGAGCACTTCTTCCTTTTGCACTCTTATCCTTTGACTAAGGCAGCAAATATTTATATACCTCAGAAGGAGCAAATGTCTTATCTATTTTCATCTCTCTTTAGTGCCAACCAGCAGCAGCAAAGTGGGACTTTTCTGGTTGGTGATCTCTGAGTAAATCCATTGGCAAAGACCCCATAAATAATTTCTAATAATGGTTCCAAAGTGGAGGACTTTTCTGAACATAGAATAAAAAAATTAAGGAACATGTCCCAAAGCTAAAGTCTTACTCTATAAATTAGATTAAGGGTGTAATTATTCTTATTGAGGACATACTGGTGTCTCTCGTACTTGTGTGCATTGTTTCATGAGAGTGAGAAACTGTGGTGAAAGTATTAAAGAGAAGACATATTTTTTTAGTTAATGTGCTAGTTAATATTGCAAAAGACATAGTGATTATACTCCTTATTAATAAAAGAACCAATTCCAAAGCCAATTGTGTAAAATTTACTCATACTAACAATCACTTTTACCTGTTTGAGTACTTAATCTATATAGTTGAAGCTTCTGTGCATTAGACATTTATGGATATTAATTCCAAATAAAACAGGTATTAATTTTGTTGTTATTTGCTTTTTATTCTTCAGTCTAATCTCTTCTCATCAATTGCTCTTATACTGAATTAAACCAGCTGTGTCCAGGATTAAGTCTTAATGTATTTCAATGGGCCTATATTCAAAGACATTATATAGGAGGGACTCTGTAGTGAAAAGATAAATATAAGATGGACTTTCAGTAGCAAAGTTACATGTATTGGGAGCACCCAACTAAACACTTGATTTTGCCAAAAAAACTATCTTGAACCCTCACACCTTTGCCCTCATCTCACTCTGCTCCAGCTCTAATCCCTCCTCTGAGGTCATTCATTTTATTAACCCAGTAGGGGACTAATTCGAGTGAATAGCAATTAAAAAAATTTAAAAAGTGATTGCTTTGTGCTGAATGAGGGAGTTGAATTGCCTTAGCTCTTCTCCCATGACACCATCTCCTGGGAGATGAAAGGTACAACTGTGCAGTCATAAATAGGTGCAGGGAGAAATGTGGAAGGAGAATTGTGTAAAGCTAGTATTTCAAAGGTAGAATGATGCCAGAACTGATATGTCCATTAAATAATTATTTAAAATAGAACTTGGTAGTCTCCAGGACTGTAATTAATGCTATAGAGAGATTTATAAATAAAACATAAGAATAGACATGGTGAAAACCCATTTCCTTATTTTCCTCCCTGTACCACCCTGCATTGCTTTCTAAGGTAGACATAGGCAGATGTACTTTTTCTTCTTAAATATTTCAGCCAAAGTCATATCACCTATCTAAAGAATGAAAAGCTGGATTGTACTGCTGGCTATTGTAGTCAGCACAGCAGAAACACAGAACCAGGATGTTTGCACCCAAGGGTATCCTGGCATCCCTGGCACTCCTGGGCACAATGGCATACCTGGCCGTGACGGACGTGATGGGTCGAAAGGAGACAAGGGAGATACAGGTACTATGTTCAGAATGAATGATTTAATATATCAGATGCAAGGCCATTCACTCCCTCTGTAGTTAGTCTGCATGAATGGGATTGTTCTGCCTTGCCTTCATAAACCATTTCAGACATTTGTCATTTACCTGTTTGAAGAAGGAAATACAAAGAAAGGCTTATTGAAAGCAAGACAGCAAATACTATGGAGATGTCAGGTTCATGGGATAAAAACAAAAGAAAAAAAGGATTTACCTTTTATCATGGGAATATTTTCAAGTCTATTTGAAAATTTTAATGCCTGCAAACCTACTCCTACTCGTTTAAGATATAAACTATATTTCTGCAAGGAGCTTCAAGTCTACTAAAAAAAAGCAACAACTGATACCTTGTTTGGTGTACTAGGAAGTATGCAGTGGTAAGATTCTCTTTCTTATCAAAATTATACATTTTTAGGACTTGATTCTGAGTGTGCCTACTTGCTGTAACTCATGAGCCGCTGGAATAAGTTCAGAAATGGAGACTATTGAACAACAATATAGGATTTGTTTCTGCTCCAGCAGGCGATAATAGAGATTTGTGTGAGCTATCAAAGCCAGAGATAATCTCAGCATCCTAAAGCTAATCACCCCCGTAATACCTTAAGCCTTAGGTTAATGATGGCCCTTGTATCCATGCTGGAATATCAAGGTGATAAATCTGCAGGCATGTGGACATATAACACTTATATAAAGAACTGTTCTCTAGTCCATATGACTGGAGAGCTACTCTTGGAGTATGATTACAACCAAACAGCCAACTCTGTTTTAATTCTGTTGCTACACTCGGGATGTATTCAGTTACTTGATCAATCTCTTGGGCATCTGTACTACCTCTGTACTACAAAAGTCACTTCTATAACTGCTCTCTGTAGAGCAGCGGAAAGTCCATGTCATGCTAGGTACAGGGACCAAGAGTGTGAATGCCTTCCTCAGCTTTATAGGCAATATTATTCCACTGTAATGATCCATTATGATTGGTCAAACTCCTGCACATCTCTTATTGAGGTGAAAGTTCACCATTCTTTGAATCACAGAATCATTACAGCTGGAAAAGGCCTCTAAGGTGATCTAGTGCAACCATTAACCCAGCATCACCAGGCCCACCACTAAACTACATCCCTGTTTAACTGCTAGGCTTCATGCCCCAGCAATGCTTCTTGCTGAATTTCCATGGATGGAGGCAACAAGAGAAGACATTTTCACACTGGCGATCCTTGCCAGGTTATAACAACTGTACATGTCTCAATAACTCACCTCTTTATGCCAAGGATTCCTTCTGCACCCAAAAAGCACCATCCTCAAGCAGAGTTTCTCTGCTCTTTGTTAATCTTGTAGTAAGACAAAACTAACAGCAGTGGCAGACACTAAAAGTCAGAAATAAGGGTATGCTTTACATTACTGTTTGGCCAGGCTTTAGAAGGAAGGATTAAAGATGGATTCTTCCCAAATTTTCTGGTAATTTGTTTAATGAATATCTGTGTTTTTATTTCTGTACTAGGTGAACCAGGAATTCCTGGCAGTCCAGGAAAAGATGGTGTCAATGGAGAGAAAGGTGAACGAGGTCAGAGAAGTTCTTCAATTTAATATTTGTCTATGAATTGCTGCCCTTGTGTTTGTGAACTCATCATACAATCTCATTTATTTTAAATTCTCTCATTTCTAAATTGAGAACAACAAACTGTACAAACAGCATTATTCCTAACATGAGAAGCCAAAGGCTGTTGAGCAGAATTGATCAGCTTATTTTCTTGATGAATTGAGCATATGCTCTTTATGGTGTCTTTTGTCTATCAACTGCAAAAGTGCCTTTCACATCATGAGATCTTCACCTTCAAAACCTTGTGCAGCAACCAGAGCAGTTTTGAAGGCTTTGATCTTCTGATAAATGATGGATGATGGATAAATAAAGCAAAGGGTGGCAAGTAACCAGGACAACACACCTTTAGTTGTGCTGCAGTTGTTCTATGTAACCCAACAGAAGTAGAAATTATACATAGAAATTATGGAAACATGTGACAGTTCAAGTCAAGTTCAGAGTGTTGTAAAAATCCCCCCTTCCTCTTCCTCTGATTAAATTGTGAACCCTCTCATCCATTCTGTACACCAAAGTCTGTAAAAAAGTGTGGACAGATGTTGCTTTTGTATGAGATGATGTGAGCTGTCAGTGTTATCATCAACCCATAGAAAACCTTCCTTTCTTTGAGCTTATTCTTGCTGCTGGCAGCCAGAGCACCTGTTTTCTAACAAAATAACAGGCTCTTCAGACATTATGCTTATCTTGCACTTAAATGTATGAGAAACTCTCTGTACAGTGAGCACAGTGGATATGCGCACCTGCACGTGTATCTCCTCAAGATGAACCTCAATTTGTGCCTTCCAGTGGAGGATCACAAGAAAGTTGTGGAATTGTTTTTTTTTTTCTTTTTATTATTATTTGGTTTTGGTTTTGTTTGTTTTTTTTCCCTTTAGGAACCAATGGGACTGTTGAAGAGAAGGGGAACAAAGGAGATAAAGGAGAAAGAGGACCACCTGGGAAACTGGGACCAAAAGGATTTATAGGATCAGTGGGTTACAAAGGTCAGAAGGGAGAGCTAGGACTGCAAGGACAAAAAGGGTTAAAAGGAGACATTGGACCCATAGGTCCAAAAGGGACAAAGGGTGAGATTGGCCATCCTGGAAGAGTTGGTTTCCCAGGGCCGATTGGCCCAATTGGTCATCCAGGTCCTAAAGGTAATACTGGAGGTATAGGGCCACAGGGTAATCCAGGAGTTCAGGGGGAAAGAGGCTTGAAAGGAGACAGAGGAGACAAGGGGAACGTAGGTGCCCCAGGAGTCCTGCCAAGGAGTGCTTTCAGCGTTGGCCTTACAGCCAACACCAAGTTTCCCCCTCCGAATCGCCCGATCAAGTTTGACAAGGTGCTGTATAACAGTCTGAATGACTTCAACTCAGCTACTGGCAAGTTCACCTGCAAGCACCCTGGTGTTTACTATTTCACCTACCACATCACCGTCTACTCAAGGAATGTGCGAGTAGCTCTCGTTAAGAACGGCATCAAGATGCTGCACACGGTGGACAGGTACCAGAGCGGAGAGGACCAGGCCTCGGGAGCCACCATCCTTGAGCTGCAGGGAGGAGACGAGGTGTGGCTGCAGGCCCACCAGGGAGAGGCTTTCAATGGGCTGTTTGCAGATGGCGATGACGATACCACCTTCTCTGGGTTCCTCCTGTTCAGCACCGCTGACCTGCTGGAGCCACTGCTGCCGGCCACGCCGTAGCTCCGCGTTATCCCTGAGTGCTGCATGCCTGTGCCCCTCAGCCCTCCCTGAGAAATCTCTTATCTGCTGGGCAACTTCTGCTGGATTCAACAGAAAATGTTTGGTTTCAGGAACAGCTTCTGCAAGAGAGGACAAGTCTTCAGAATCTACAGTGCTAGGTTTAACACATTAGTGGTTTGGTGAGTTACTGTAGGCATTCACAGGGGTGTGTACCCCAGTTCTCAAGAACAAATTTTAAAGAAAAGTGGGATGAAATAAAAGACAAAAGTTCCGGAATTATGTTGTATGGGATATATTGTACAAAGAAGAAGCAACAATTATTTCCAAGCCAGTTTATATCTTCCAATGTGGCACGTGTAGATGGACTTGAAACTTGGTTAGTTTGCATCCAGACCCTTGAAAATTATTTTTAAACTTGAAATTAGTGTAGTTTGATAGCTCTACAGAAGCTACTTGATGTGTGGTGCAAGCAAGTTTCATGGTTTCATTTACAGTTTTAAAATATGGTTCTTTGCTCTCTGTGTAGTCACAGGTCTGAAACTGAGCAGAATGGAGTGATAGGAGGAAGTGCCATGTGTATTCTCTGATGTGGGCAGGTATTCAAGACCAGTGCAAAAATACAGCATAAAGTTGCCATACTTCAGAATTAGTTGGTGCAAAACAAAGTCTCCCAGATTAAAGATAATATTTAATCAACACTGAAGCAGCCATGCCAGAGAACTGATCAAGAGTTACCTCCTATACCATAGAACAGGACATAAAATATATATAAAAATTCTGTAATTTTTTTCTCCCAAATTTTTTCTTCTTCCCCTCTCCCTCCCTCCCTCCCTCCCTTCCTCCCTCCCTCCCTCCCTCCCTCCTTTTCTTCTAAAACTCAAAGATATTTTAAAAAATATTGGGAAGTCTCATTCACTTATCTTAGAAGAGAGTAAAGTAGAGGTGCCAAGGGAGATGGGTCAGCATCATGAAATTCAGTGCAAATGCAGCGTTAGGAGCTTATGGCCTAGTTCCCATCAGCACCTCAGGGTAGCTGGGGAATGTGGGCATGCTCTCACAGTAGTCAAACCCCCGAGAGTGGATCACAGAGCCCAGTGGAAAGGGCACGGTGGGTTAATTCAGGAGGAACAGCTGCACTTCTCAAATGACAGCGAGGGGGATACAAGGGCACTCAGGTGGAGGAAAGGGCTATGTGACTTTTACAGCAAGACGAAGTTTCTTCCCATAAGCCACACGCCGCAAGTTCGTATTACAGAAACACCTAGACCGAAAAACCATTTTAAAAGGGCCTTGAGTTTAACTGGAGAACGTGTAGGACAGGTACCAGCCGGCAGAGCCCCGGTGCGGGGAGTCAGGCGCTGGTGAGCCGGGAAGCGGGGCAGACCGGGGAGTGCAGAGAGCCCGGGGCAGAGGCGCCGGCAGGCTGAGGGGCAGCGGGAGCCCGGAGCTCCGCCTCGCCCCGCCTCGCCCCGCCTGCTGCCGCCGCTCCTCCCCTCGGCGCGGACGCGCGGAGGTCGCGGCCGCGCCGGGCGCGCTCCGCCGGGCCGCGCTGCGCTCCGCCATGCTGGGCGGCTGCCGGCGGGCGCTGCCCGCGGCGCTGGGCCGGGCGCTGCGGGGCCGGGCGGCGGGGCAGGGCGGCCGGGCCGTCAGCACCAGCTGGTGCCCCGTGGGCTCCGCGTTCGATGCGAGGCAGCGGCAGCAGCAGCCGCTGCGCGGCGGTGCGGCGGGCAGGGACACGGTGAGCGGGGACGGGAGGCCGGGCCTGCTGCGGCAAGGAGCCCTGGTCGCCGCCAGCGTCGTGCTTTGTTCTGCTTGTCTGAACTGTTGTAAGGGAGTTTTTTGGGGGCAGTTTTTCTCTTGTGTGTATTTTTTTTTTTAAATAAGTGTTTATACTGGTTCTAGCAAACCCAAACATTGTGGCTTTCGGACACAGAAGCGTTTGACAGTGCGTGGGAACGCTTTGAGCCTCAGTGGTGCCCATAGGTCCCTGAAGTGGGGTTGCCCCTGCATTCCCCCTCCCCTGGCAGCCTCAGCGCTCCCCGGCCGTGCCGCTGCCGTGCCGCTGCCGTGCCGCTGCCTCCCGCGGTGCTTCCGCAGCAGCCGCGCGCTCACATCCGCCTGCCTGGGCGGTGTACTTGGTTGTCTTACCTGTGGCGAAAAGAGGATTTCTTTGCTGATCTGATCACTGTTGGGTTTTCTGACGCGTGTATTTTTAGGATGAGTCAGGGATGTTCGTTGATGTGTGTCCAGGGAATCAGCAGGCTCCCGGAGAGGGTAAGGTAGCACAGTGCATACAGAATAGGTGCAGCTGTAAAATCCAGGTGTTTGTCTGCTGACTCAGCTATTCCTGCCATGGTGCCCAGCCTGGCTGAGCTGTTGAATTTCGGGTTTTAGAGAGGACAGATCTCCGTTTATAATCTTGGCACTTGTTTGGGAAACCTTTCTTCAGGTTCTCATGCCTGTGCGAGTACACTGGTGTGAGTTTTGCTTCAGGAAATAATCCTCGCTTCAGGAAATATTGTCCATTTGACTGGTCTAGGGAATGTGTTCCAGGTCATTCACTTGGCCCACTCTTCTTTTGGAATAGAGGTGCGTATTTCAGGCTCACAAAGAGGCTGTGCCAGGTAGGATGTAAATGCTGAGACCACGTGAAGACAGAAATGTTTCAGCCATGCAGCCAATGACATTAAAGAACAGAGAGAACTACACCAGGCTTCATTTTTTGGTGTTTTTTATTTTTTTTATGCTAAACCTGATATCATATGTAAGAGGAGTTCTGCAGCTAATTTATCTCTAAGAGGAAATACATCCTGGCCACAGAGCACTACATGTGCAGGAAGAGCTTGCTTGGGAGGATGGGTGATGATGTAGGACAGCAGAAAGACCTGGAGCTCCCAGGGATATTGCGGGACACTGCATCGTCTGGCTGAGGATCTGAGTGAAAGGGCAGTCTCGAGCATTTTACACAGCAAACATTATTCAAGAGTTCTGTGATACAAGTATATTTATATTTGTATGCACATGTGTAAAAATATAAAAGTACCTTTTTCAGTGTTCACTTCAGTCCTGTTCCTCTTCCCAAATAATAAATTGAAACATGGGAAGTGTGAAGAAAGGTTTTCTTTTGTTGCCGAAAACGAAGTTGGTTTTAGTGACAGTGACAGAAAATAGGACAAAGCAAACCAAAATGTTCCCGATGTGTACTTGAAGGGTAGCTTTTGCTTCAGAATATAAACTTGTACAGATGAGCTGTCAATTTGTAGTTTTTTATTTGAATAAATACTAGCAAGCTGCAAACCTGCAGCTGACTGCAGTAATACAAAGATTTTGCAGGAAGTGGATTATAAAATGACTGGACTGCAGATTTGAAAATGCAGATTGTGGTTTTTAGGTACTGAGGTTGAATTTGGAAGGGATAGATTTTGTGTGAAATCACATACCTTTCACTGTTTGATGCTGTAGTCAGGGAGTGAGGAGATGCTCACGTTGTAGTTGGGCAGTCGCAAAGGGAGTGTAGTGCTTGAAGAGATTTTGCTTTTAACGTAAATGAAATTAAGGAATTACTAGGATAAGGTTTTTCACGCAGGGGGTGGTTGGGCATTGGAGCAGGCTCCCCAGGGAAGTGGTCACAGCACCAGCCTGACAGAGCTCAAGAAGAGTTTGGAGAGTGCTGTCAGACACACAGTGTGACTTGGGGAGGGTGCTGTGCAGGGCCAGGAATTGGAATTCGGTGATCCTTATGGGTCCTTTCTTCATGTGGAATAAAACACAAAGTTTTTCCAAACAGTGTTAATATGATAATATAAAAGCAAATCTTTAATTGAAAGCCTTCATGTTGCACAATTGGTGATATGTACACGTGATACTGTAGTTCTACATTTTTATAAGGTTAGTTGGTTAGTATATCTATCAAATATTGTCCAATTAGAAGAGCATCTGGTTTAGATAATCTCCCCTCTGGGTTTAGCCCCTTTGGAGCTCCCCCCTGAGCTCCCCTGATCTTCTAACTGCATTTTTTTATGTTTATGATACATGGTGCAAAATAAAGTGTCCTTGCTAAACTAGCAGGCAAGACTAAACAGAATTTCAAGAATGCATCAGTAGGAGTTTGTCAACTGTGAGAAAGAGAGCTGGGAAAGTACTAGAAGTTTTAACTATGTATTAACAGTCTATAAAGCTACAAATACATGAGGAATAAATAAAACCCAAAAATCTTTAGGCATCACTTCCAATTCAGGGGATTTTGTGATTCTTTGAAATAATTTTTCTGTTGTAGGTCTGTACTGTGGAACTTCTCTATCTGCTAGCATTAGTGATTTTGTTTCATCAGTGGTAGAACCTCTCTGTCTCTTCCACAGATGCAGAACATAAGTGCCATCTGCATTTACCCGGCACAAATAAGTGTGTTTACCTTGTCCTGTGGGACAGGGCCAGGCTTCATAGGAACTTCAGGACTCCACAAGCATTTTCAGTTATTGTTGATTATTCCTTTGAGGTCTGCTTCCAGTATTGGTGGCTCATTTAGTAAGTGTGAAACAACTGTCCTGTTGCCTGCAATCTCTTGATACCTGGTGCTGCTGTCCAGTGAAGTGCTACAGTCAGTGTACTAGCTGGGGTCATTTTGGTAAAATTCTGTAGTGATAATTCAGTCTTGAACCAAAGGTGCAGAAATCAAGGAGGCCAATAGTGATGTGTTTTCACTGTGTTTTGCGCTGCAGGGTCTGTTTGGTGTTCCAGAACTGAGCTGTCCAGAAGGATTTCAAGAAGCACAGGACAAAGCATTGCAAGAATCAGAACAGCTTGTCCAGAAGGCATGTTCAACACCACCTGGGCCTGAGACAGTAATGATCTTTGATCAGCTTTCAGATAGCCTGTGCAGAGTAGCAGACTTGGTATGTTATTTCTTTTTATTTTTGCATAAATGCTTTTAAACTGTGTGAGCTTACACTATGTTCCATTTTATGATTTTCTACAGTGCAGTAATAGCAGTGTAGAAATAGATCAGGCCCATGAAGTTTTGTGTTAAGACAGAAAATAAAATTAATTGACAGTGAATTACAAAGGCTTTTA